AACAATAATAATAACAATGATAACGATAATAGCAATAAGAACAATAGTAAAATGATAATAAGGATCAGGATAATAAGTTGAATAACATAGCAATCACATACCAAGAATAATAGCGATAACAATGATAATGATAATAGCAATAGGTATATTCACAATGACACAATAATAGCGATATGTGATATATGATATGGACTATATCGAAAATGATAAGATAAGTATGTAATAAATACAATAATTACAATAACTATTGTAAGATATATTTATATTCTTATTATTTTTGCATGTATTTCATAAACAAAGGTAAATGTTATTATCTGCAAATGTTTGTGTAATCAAGTAATTTCATGTATTATTATAGAACTTAAAATTGAAATATATGTGTAGATATTGTTTGTGTTTGAAGAAAAAAGGGTTACATGTTTTAGATGTCATAGATTTAAAGAGGAAGAAATTATGGTATACATATGGAAGCACTATATTTAAGAAAATGACAAATGTAGCTCCAAGAAAGGATAAAAGGAATAAACAAACACCAGAGAATGAAGTGTTTATCCTGTATAACCTGATCTACCTCCTATATGGCCGGCACAAATCTACTGGAATGCTGCAAAGATTTTCCCCCAACCGCATCTAAGCATTTTTTGATTAGTTACCGATGAAATGTACATTTTCTATCATTTTTAACCATTTTCGTTTTTAGGGGTCACTATACTAAAAAATAGCTCGAACCACAACGTTTATAAAAGTGGTGACCTACGGAATTATATACTTAATAACAATGAAATTACATTACATTATTACTTATTCACTCCTTTTATTATCTGAAATATAAACTTGATTATCCTCGTTCCTGATTTTTTTCAGAAATTTGATGTTCTATTTTTTCAAACTACAAAACAGTAATTATTATTATTATTTCACATTAACCTTTGTAAGAGTAATCAAAACAGAAAAGAACAAATGTAAAGAACCAAGAAATGGTGAAAATAAGCATTCAAAGATAATACAATTTTAAAAGAGAATATTGAGCATGCAATTTGACAGCCTCATCAATTCACACAATTATCAAAATTCCTTTCATATCTGTCACTGTAACTGACGTTCAGTGAAGATGAAGAAGAAAAAGATGATAGGAGTTGTTAAGCTGATGTCACCCTTCTATAATTAAGAGTTTATTTACACACACCAAATTCTTCACTTTGTAATGTATTGCCCCCAGTTACAGAATGTAATGGAACTGGATTATGAAATATAGCCACATGCACAAACATACACACAATATATAAGTACATGTATAGATAGATAGATAGATAGATAGATAGATAGATAGAAAGGTATATAGGTAGATAGATATATATATATTTTTTATTTTTTTAAATAGGTCAAACAAATAAAAAAAATAAAAAAGCTTAAACCTGAAAATGAGTTTACTGCAGGCTGCACGTAATGGAAAGTACAGACCACCAG